TCCTAGAATCACCAGATCCCCTAAAGATTCTCCTATTTGGTACCGATGGAAGAAGCAAGCATTTCCAAGAACACATACCATCGTATAATATGATGTTCTCATTCACATCTATTGGAGGAAAGATACAGACTACGATAAACAGAGGATCCGGTCCGTACACGTTCCTACTCCATGGACAAAACTACCATTTAATGGGTAGTTTGTTGCCAGATGAAGGATCGCGTCCCAAGTTTGCTCAGCTTTATATATTTGACACGGAGAATGAAGTCAATAATCGAATGGATACAGTCAGGTATAAAGCACTTTCAGTTATATGTTATTATTTTTTTATATTACAAGGAATTTACTTTATGTTTCATTTTATCGTTGCAGATCCGGAGACAGTTCCAGCGAATTGGATCCTGAGATTGTTTCTACATTCAAGGATATGGTCGACAACTCAAATATGCTTGCTCAGTCTTACAGAGCTGCCCGGGACAGGCTCTCGCAGACTGGAATGGAAGATGTCAAATTGAGACTCATAAAAAAATGAAGTACGGATGGCCGTACTTACAATCTCCCGAACTCCAGTGAAATCACGTGACTCATTGTTGGTGATTTTGACACCCAGGAGGGTGTTAGAGACATAGTTGTCGAGACACGGTCGAAAAAACTCCAGCGAATCAGTGAGTTGCACCCTTTATATCTTCCACTGCAGTATCCGCTAATATTTCCTTAGGGCGAGGATGGTTATAGGGATGATATACCACTGAGGGAAACATCAGTGAGTGGTACACGTATACGCAAGAAGTTAACAATGCGGCAGTACTTTGCGTATAGGATCCAAAAAAGATTTGGCAACAGCGCAGTTCTGTTGCACTCAAAATAATTGTGCCAGCAATTCATGGTCGACGCATTTTCAAGGGTTGAATCGGAAAGACTGAAATTTATAAGATTTAACCAGGATAAGTTAAGAGTTGACATGTACAAGGGTATCGAGGAAAGTATTTTGAAGGGAGATACGGATGCTAGATCCATTGGCACGAGGGTTATTCTACCAGGCAGTTTTACCCAAGGTCCAAGATACATGTTTAACAACTTTGTCGATGCTCTTCAAATATGCAACTGGATTGGATTTCCATCGTTGTTCATCACTATTACCTGCAATCCACAGTGGCCAGAAATTCAAAAGGCGTTGAACGGTACTAATTTGAGACCTGAAGACCGTCCCGATATTCTTGCTCGAGTTTTTAAGATGAAGCTCGACAGTCTGATGTCAGATTTGAAGAAGGGCAAAATATTTGATCGCATTAGAGCATGTAAGTATCAATTTATAAGATAAAAATATAACATAATATATATTTTATACATTGTCTACTCTTATAATATTATAAATATTTTATTACGTCAAACATTGAAAATATATGTATATTAATGCTAACCAAATACGTTTAAAATGTAAAATGTTCAGATGTTTGCACAATTGAGTTTCAGAAGCGCGGTCTCCCGCATGCGCACATATTGATTTGGCTTCACAATGAAGACAAACCGAAGACATCAAAAGACATAGATAAAATCATATGTGCCGAAATCTCAGATAAGGTAACAGACCGAAAGATGTACGATTTGGTTGAGAAGTATATGATTCACGGCCCGTGCGGTCTGGCCAATCAAAACTCTCCATGCATGAAGGACGGGATTTGCACGAAGCGATTTCTAAAGAGTTTTGTCAACCGTACTGAGGCCGATGCAGATGGTTATCCGGTGTACAGAAGAAGAGAAAATGGGAGGACCGTGGTTAAGAAGAAAACATATCTCGTCAATGGTTTCGTCGTGCCTTATAACCGTGCTCTACTGAAAAAGTACAGAGCACACATTAATGTCGAGTTGTGCAACCAGAATAAGTCGATAAAGTATTTATTCAAGTACGTCAACAAAGGACACGATCGGGTCACGGCGGCATTTTATCAATCAAATAATCCAGGTGCACCTCCTGAAAATCGCGATGAGATAAAGATGTACTACGACTGCAGATATCTTTCGTCATGCGAGGCTGCTTGGAGGTTATTTAGCTTTGACATTCACTTTAGAGACCCACCGGTGATTAGGTTAAGCTTTCATCTTCCAGACAGTCAGTCTTTTGTGTTTACAGATAATGACTCATTAGTTGATGTGCTGAACAGACCGACTGCGAAGCAAACGATGTTCCTTGCTTGGTTCCAAGAGAATAAGTTGTACCCTGAAGCTAGAAATTTGAGGTATGGAGAGTTTCCACAGAAATTTGTCTATAAGTAAAAAGCTCGCTGTTAGATGCCGAGAAAGATGGGATTCTCGATCGAAAGGGTTACCAATGTACCGCCAGGCAGGGGTGAAGACTATTACTTGAGACTGTTGTTGAACTTTCAAAGAGGTTGCACGTGTTACGATGATCTTAGGAAAATCGAGGATCACGTCTACCCAACTTTCAAAGATGCGTGCTTTGCGCTTGGACTACTGGATGACGACAAGGAGTACATAGCTGGCATAAATGAGGCAAACGAGTGGGCCAGTGGTGACTATGTGAGACGATTATTCGTCGTACTTATGGTCGCAAATAATATGAGCAGGCCGGAACATGTGTGGGAGTGTTGCTGGAAAGAATTCGCCGAGGATATTGAGTACAGACTGCAACAACGTCGTACCAATTCAGGTATGAGAATACATCTTACGTTCTTACACCGTTTACTACACACATTTGAATTAAAACTATATATTTTTATAATCGCCACATTATGTTAATTTTTCATATTTTATTATATTGAAGGTCCACCTGTGTCAGACGATACTCTGAGAAATTACGCTTTGATCGAAATAGAAAATATATTGCAAAGCAACAGCAAAAGCCTGAGTAACTTTCCCCCAATGCCGATTCCAATTGGGCCGATGACGGACAACACGGTAAATAGATTAGTTCTCGACGAGTTGGACTATGACGTTGATGCTATGCGTGAAGAACTTAAGAAATACCTTTCATCCATTACTGATGAGCAGAAAAAAGTGTTCGATGATATCATGGATGCTGTTACAAATGACAGAGGTGGACTGTTCTTTCTTTATGGGCATGGATGAACGGGAAAGACTTTCATACGGAAAACTCTATCGGCTGTTATCCGTTCAAAAGGAGAAATAGTTATAAATGTTGCTTCCAGTGGTATTGCTTCGCTTCTACTTCCAGGTGGCAGAACTGCTCATTCTAGATTTGGACTGCCAATAATTGTACATGAGAGCTCCACATGCAGCATCAAACAACAGAGCCCACAGGCAGAATTGTTGTCTAGAGCAAAGCTAATCATATGGGACGAGGCATCGATGATGCACATATATTGTTTCGAAGCACTCGACAAAACAATGAAATCTATACTTGATTCATATATGCCATTCGGAGGCAAGGTCGTAGTGCTTGGAGGGGACTTTCGGCAAATTTTGTCAGTTGTGTTGAAAGCGTCGAGACAAGACATTGTGCATGCTACAATCAATTCATCACCGTTGTGGAGGCAATGCAAAGTTATGAAGTTAAACAAGAACATGAGACTTGAGTCGTCCTTCTTTTCCGCCAATGCAGATGAAATAAGAGAATTTGCGGACTGGATATTGAGAATCGGCAATGGCGATGCTGGCGAGATAAATGACGGTAATGCCACAATTGAAATTCCCGATGACATGCTGATTCGGAATTCTGCAGATCCCTTTTTGGATCTTATAGAGTTTGTCTATCCGGATCTGGTGACCAACCTTTTCACTCCCGAGTATTTCGAAGGCAGAGCAATCCTTGCACCCACTAATGAAAGTGTCGGTTTTGTAAACGATCATTTTTTGTTGATCATAACTGGAGAGGAGAAGGTCTATTTCAGCTCAGATAGTATGTGCAAGGAGGAGTTGTTGTCGGATGTCAACGCAGAAATATACTCACCGTAGTTTCTCAACACCATATCATGTTCCGGAATTCCACCGCATAAGTTGACATTGAAAAGAGGTGTTCCCGTTATGCTCATCAGAAATATCGATCAGGCCAGAGGATTGTGCAATGGAACAAGGCTTCAGATTATTAATATGGGAAAACACGTTCTCAACTGCAGGATCCTGTCCGGTAAACATGTTGGTGATATGGTGTTCATTCCTAGAATGACTTTGGTACCGTCCAACTCTGCATTGCCTATTAAATTCCAGCGACGTCAGTTTCCGCTGATGGTATCATTCGCAATGACAATCAATAAAAGTCAAGGACAAACTCTTTCTCACGTGGGCATGTACTTGCCGAGACCTGTTTTCAGTCACGGACAGCTCTATGTCGCACTCTCGAGGGTTAAGAGTCGAAGTGGCATAAAGATTTTTGATTAACTCGGAATCTGGTGATACGACCAATGTTACAAATAATGTTGTATACAAGGAAGTTTTTCAGCGTATATGAAGGTAATTATTTATACAAAAAATTACAATATTTATTGACGACCTTTATTATCTATTATTTTTATGTTTGGTTATTCCTCATTCGTAGGTTTATTTTAATTGTACTAGGAACTTGCTATGGACTCCGTTCGCTATATTTGATGAAGGTAATCTTACAATAATTTTATGCAATTAAAAAGTTATATTGGTATTGTTTTGGTAACAATTTACATATTTCGTGTGACCATTTTACAACATATGCAGGTCAGTTGCATTGTATTGGATTTGTTGCATTCGTTTAGGGCGGTTGGTAGCAAACAATTCAAGTTTTCAACGTTCATGTCATTATGGTTGTACAAGTTTGGGACCAACTATATATTCGTTCTTTTGTATGAGAAAATTTAAACATTCGATGTTTAGTTTTTTTCACTTATTTCGGCTTATTTTGAACTTACACCATACAAATTATTTTTATTTTTGAATATGTTCTACTTCTTTCTTTTACTTATTAACAATTAATATCACTATTTTGAGAACATTTTTTATTATTCAATATTTGTTTTACGATCAATACACCGTGCATCGCACGGGTGTATTACTAGTATATATATATATATACAAAATGCATGTCTTTACATTTCGTAGAAAGCCAAAAAACCCTAGTAAGTATTTAATTAATTAGAGCACTAGCTCCCTTCGATCAATTCTTGTTGCCCCTCTAAATATATCAAGGGCTCTTCACAAACTTAATAAACGTTTCTTGTGTTCGATTACTACTATGTGTTTTGTTCATTTTTTAGGGGAAAATGAGCTCTTAATTATGAGAATTGTGTGTTGGACTTTGGTTCCTAGTAAGATTAATTGCAATCATAACAAAATTTGATCTTCATTGATCTTATTATTGCCAATGAAACAAAGCGTTTAAGATCTTAGGGTGCAAAACGCAATTCAACCCATTTTTGAATTTATGCGACAACTCATTAATTTTAAATGTTCGATAAAAAAATAAGAGCCTTCCAAAGGTTTGACGGGATCTGAGTGTGCTTAAGTGTTGGGCTTCTGAATGATAGGACCGCATTAAAAGAATTTAAGTTAATGGGCTGAATGAATAATTTAATTGGGCTCAAAATCCAACAAAGTTAGCCCACCGAAATCAATAAATTAAATGGGCTTTCCTACAATTGGGCCCAGTTAATTCAAATTGCCATATTGAATGAACTACAAGTGTTTGACAAAATGACTAAACCAAGTACTAGCATTTGAAATCTGAGACTGACTAACTGACTGAGCAATGCCTGATTCTTGATTCTTCCAAACTTACTAGTAACTCAGTCTAAATGGATTAAATAGCGATATCCCATTTGTAATAAAATTCGTGAAAGAAATTAAGAATAATGCCTGCGGAAAATGAGTAGTACACGAAAGAATATCAGATGATTTGCCATAGTAATGCTGAAAAGTTAATCTCAAACGCTGAAGAGTCAACAACTATTGTACGCAGCAGATTTATTAAGTTTGCAGCATCGATTTTCGACCGGTTTAAGGAAAAAGACATCAAGTAGTGAGCTGGATCTTGCTAAGGTTGTTTCTCGTGATTAAGACTTAATTACCCAATTAATAACCGTTGTGGTAAGCTGTATCTTGTTACCCATGCACTGTGGTGAAAGCTGGAAAATTTGCCTGATTTAGAACATGAGACCATTCAAGAATCGAATTACGACAGCGCAACGTAAATTCGGAGTTTATAAATGGATACAAACCAGCTATGTAAATTTCATCCATTTAATTTGCTACATTGAAAACACACAAATTTCAGATACTAAATACACCACATATTTGCTGAATTTGTACATTTTTGGTTCAAGAATTGGACATCTAGTCTCATTTACATGTACACTTTTTGATTGAATGTGTAACATAAATTTGATTTACAAAATTAATCAGTAACTTATGTTAATTCATGATTATACCTTGTTAATATACCTTGACCACCTTTAATTAATATAATATTACTAATACAATTCGAAATTCTCTTGTAATTACCAGTTCTTTATCAATTGAAAAAATGAATATGCTATGCTGGCAAATACTTCAGAATATATTAATCATGTGAACTGATATAACATAAAATTTCTTAAACCTGAGAAATTCCACTCAAACAAATTGTTTTTTTTTCTAAAGTCATCAAGATTAATGCAAGACAAAATTTCTAAGAATGAAGAGGATTTGTTTAATTTGTGTAGTATATATACAGAAAAAAAAAAAGAAAATTAAAATAAATAAATCATGTCGACCACCAGGTTATTTGTAAATTGTACTCTCTCTCTCTTAAGTCTGATTAGTCAAACTTTGATCATCACGTGACCGGAGAACATGCCCTCAAACACCATCAAAACGACGCCGTTCAAGCAGACGAACAGACCGCAGAACTTCTCGGCGAACCTCCTCCACCACCGCCCGTCATCGCCGCGGTCCGCAGCCACCGGACGAAGGTAGGCCCAGGCGGCGTGCTGGAGGAGAGGATCCTTGATCGGAATCTCCCTCCAGCTTCCAGTCGGAGAAGAGGTCGACGGCGGCATCAAGTCCTTCAAGCTGGTGTAGCTGATGCTGCTCTCTAGAGCAATCATCTCTCTCTCTCTCTCTCTCTCTCTCTCTCTCTCTCTCTCTCTCTCTCTATGTATACTTGTTGTTGTAGACTTGTAGTAGTGATAATTAGCAGTACCGCTAAGTATGAGATTTAAGGGCAAATAAAAGGGTTTAATTAAGGAGCTTTCCATAATACACAATCTCTACCATTTATGGTTTACAGATTCTGTAATTTTAATTTGATGGGCAAAGAGAATTCTGGCTGACTGTGTTTTATTTATTTATTTATTTATTTATTTATGTGGGTGTGTGTGTTGTTGGCGATAAGTGATTTAGGTGAGTCATGACTCTGAGGGGTGGGCCCCGGTTTTTGGGGGGTGTGGGGTCCACTCACAGCTGGCACCTACCACGATGAACACGTGTGTTTCTATTGTGATTAGACTTTTATTTGTTTTATTTTCGGACCCATTCCAAATTTTGTTTGTACATGATGTATATTGGAATTCAATTTTTTTTTTATTCTTTTAAAATGATTGTCTTTTATGCTGAATTCCAGAAAAAAATATATGCATTCAAATTGTTATCGAATTTTTTTTGTACTTAAATTGGACTATATATGAAATTCGTATTCTCGATTCAATTTCGAACATTCCAAAAAAAAATCGATAGTCGCATTTGGATATCAATATTATTATGTACTATTAAGTCGGAGTCGGATAAACGATTGGGGGTCACGTCACAGTTGGAGTAGATTATTGAGTAAAATAAAGAGATATGTTGTTTAAAACGTGTAAATAGTGTCTTATGTGATGGACGGAATTAAATGGAGAATACTTATTATGGTGTGAATAAATTGAAGAAATGCATATCAACATAGTATATTAACTTGGCTAATTAGCATTCTGCACCCTCCAACTAAACTCGTTCTACACGCTGGACCATAAAATAAAATAAATGGCAGGTATTACCCTCTAATTAACCTTTGTTTTGTGCAATGCACACATGATTTTACCTTGCCACTTTCATCTGCTTCACTCTAACTTAATAGTAATTCTTGCATAATACAGAAATTCAATCATCAGAGTGTGGGGGTTGGGGGTGCCGGTATTTAGCAGCAAAGAAAATCTCAAAACCCCGTTATCGACTTTTGCACATTAAGGTATGCACAACGCACTGTTCCGTTCGGAGATATAATCAGTAATAGGTGGTGCAGCCACCACTTCCACCTCTAGCTCTAGAGCAATCACGCCATTCGCCAATATAACTAGAAGATAAATAAATAAATAAAATTTATAATAACAATAAGAAGAAGAAGAAAGGAAGAAATGTATTAAAAGACAGACAACCGTAAGGAGATTTTTCTTGTGAAACAATTCTGATGCAAATTTCACAAGAAAGTTTCGGTTACCCCTATTACACCTTGTTGAATTAATTTTTTTAACAATTAGATGTATAACTTCGAATAACAAATACCCAACCAATATTTGGATTTTCGCATCAATTACTGAAAAAATAAATACAGAGTATGCAGACAGAACAAACGTTGATCGTTCAATCATAATAAGATCTATTAATATAACATAGAATTACAGCCATTGCGAGATACCTTATGCGTTTTAAACAGATCAAATAATCTTCTTGTTCACACCTCCTCCAAGATTCTTTAACAAGTCACTTTTGCTTCTCAGCAGCCTGCCACAATTAACAAAAAAAACAATAATTAGAAAACAATGGTGACCTTTTTTGCTACTGTTTCGATAATCGACCGCCCACCCAAAGTAAAAACTCACAAAATTTATATTAACTTTGCAATTAACTAGAAGCCCCCAGCACAACATAGATACTACAACACTATACAAAAGAAATCCAATCGTATAACAAAAACAAGAAAAATAAGCATTTAATAAGCAATTAACAATTACACTGTAAAAGAACTGCTCAACTTAAATATAGGTGTTATAATTCTATACCAACCTTTTTTAATTTATCCAATACCGAATCTTCAAACGCCTGATAACCAGCACCGACCAAATTGCCTAATTTTGGCCCATCGGACTCGTTTTTCTTCTCATGACTGAAAACAACTGGAGACGGAGCTGGTTGAAGCGGCAGAACTAGGAGCGGATTCGATATATTACCCAACATATTCCCAGTAGCAGAAACCTGAAAAAATTTAAAAAAATAAAAAAATAATTTGGAAATTCAAAAAAAAAAACAATGAAGTCCAAAAGAATCAAATACATGTGAAAAAAAAAAATGAAAGCTTACAGCAGAATCTTTAGACGCCATTACTACAAGAGCCGACCCTTTCTTCTTCGAACTCTTGATAACCACATCTTCTACATCGCCAAATTCTTCGAAAATTTCTTTAAGCATCTTCGCAGTGTAATCGCCACCAATCTTCTCCCACGAAACTTTAAGTACCTTCTCCTTATCCAATCCATTACTTCCACAATCCGTGCTCTCCTTTTCACCCCTCGTTGTTTCCTGCTTGAAAGGTGTTGTACCAGCTGCCGTTTTGTTCGTACGCATTGCACGAATCCTAGCAATCTCCGCCTTCAATTGACGGGAAATTCTCTCCTCCTCTTCTCGAGCTCTAGCGGTGGGGTCCACAGCAAAAGCGGATCTTTCTCTCTCTTCGAGATCCGACATCATCTTCCTCCGCTTCGAGTCGTGCTGACCCTGTCGAACAAGCTTCTCCCTTTTAACTCTGAGTAGGTCGTCGAATAACTTCCTCGCCTTTTCATCCTTGAGAACTTCGTACGAAGTTTGAAGCTTTACGAAATTAGCGTTTGCCTGAGGGTCGTCGGGTCTTTTGTCGGGGTGCAGCTCCCTGGCTTTCGATCGATAGCCTTTGGTGATCTCTTGGTCGGAGAGTTTAGCACCTTCTTCGCCGGAAGGTAGCCCCAGAACATTGTAATGGTCGATTTCAACATCCATAATAAGAAAGCTTTAATATTCAAAAGAGGAGAGAAGATATATATATAAATTTATACAGGTGAAATTGTCAAGAAATTGAAGAACTAGGGTTTGGATCGAGCACGAAATTGAAGAAAAGGGGGATTAGGATTGCAAAGGTGATTGATTTCTTTGGAGGGGGAAATAAATTGTCGAGACTTAGGGTTTTGATCGCAGAAGAAATTGAAGAAAAAGGGGAATTAGGATTGTAAAGGTGAATTGGGTAAGAAAGGGGTTGTTTTAAAAAACGACGGCGTTCGGATTAAAATAATGTTGTGGGCTCAAGGAAAGAGTAATATGGGGGTGTTACCGAAATAATTATTAATAAAATATGTATATTCTGATTATTTGTTTATTTATTAATTGGGTAAATTACAACCACCCCTGAGGTATGGTTGAATTACAAAAAAACCCCTCTTGTTTGGGTAATTACAACCACCCATCAACTATAAATTTTTTTACACGTTCACCCTTGCGGTTTCAAATTTAGTGGAATCTTCGAGATTATATGAAAGATTATCACTTTTGTACCCGTTTTATCCTATTCGAACTCCACATTTTGAAGCAAGATGATCATAATATGTATTTTTTTGCTTATATATATCAGATTGTGGTGCATCAGAAACTGTATTTTTAAACAAAACGAGTACAAACTAGAGCACATTCCACGAAACCTAGATGATTATGTTGAATTTGACACCGTAAGGGTGGAGATGTAAGAAAAAATCATAGTTGAGGGGGTTAGATGTAATTATCCAAACAAGAGGGGTTTTTCCGTAAATTGACCATACCTAGGGTGGTTGTAATTTACCCTTTTTAATTTTTAGTATAATTTAATATTATTTGATTAAAAAAAGTCTCTTTGTTTGCATCCTACAACATGACTGCAGTTGGTGTTTATTTTTTTATGAAGTTCGTGTTGTTCTGCACGAACCCAAAAACTACGGAACGGTTCGAAATCTCCAATCGGAACTCGGAAAGGCAGAAAGGTACAGAAGAAATCCTCATTTATTAAATTAAAACATAGAGGTACATAACCAATTCTCAACAGGCATACATCTCCAGGAAACAATATAACGCAGTCGCTTCGCTTTAACGGTCGAAACCACAAAAAAAGGTATCGAAAATTCAACTTAAGGATCCCAAAAGCACCACTCATCAAGACCGAACACAATAATACATAAATGAATAAACTGGTTCTCTTTTCAAAGAATATAAATAAATATATGTCAAGAAATGTATCTCAAACCGCATAAAAAAAAAACCGAATATATATATATCTCTCTCTCATCAGTTGGAAGCATCCCTGCTGTAGAATTGGTCGAGAGTCTTTGCCGGAATACGGTGAAGAAGCTCACGGGGGAAGATTCTGAGCAGTGTCCACGCCAAATCGAGTGATTGGAAAATGTTGCGGGTGTCGTATGCCCCTTGGGCAACAAACTTCCTCTCGAATTTGTCAAGGAACTCGAGATATAGCTGTATATATCCATGTGTATTGTTAGTAATCTAAATTGGTGTTTACCGCATGAAATTAATAATACAAATAGAGAAATTAGGGAGACAGATAACGGACCAGATCCTCTGAGGAAAGTGCCTCTTCTCCAACCACAGCTTTCATTGCTTGGACATCCTTACCAATGGCATAGTTTGCATACAGCTGGAAAAATATGAAATAAAGAAAAATTAGTAGTGAAATGTAGCATTAAGTAATTGGGATTACTTCTGCAAAATAAATTTAGATAGTTTACCTGGTTAGACACATCGGAATGATCCCTACGGGTCATGCCCTCACCAATGGCACTCTGCAGTATATTGAAGCAGCAGTTATGGAACCCTAATTATCCTTTATAATTTCTCTCACATGAATAAAACCAAACATTTTTTGAGCACCGAATCAAATTACCTTCATTAGACGAGACAGGGATGGAAGCACGTTGATTGGAGGGTATATCTGTCGATTCACACAGATATCATTTTAGTGATTATTTTGACACAACAAATAAAGAGGGACGAACATCTAAAAGATGCACCATGCGAAAAGTGACGAGACCCCAACATTTTCAATATTACAAAGGGAAATATAGTTTATACAAAAGACATGTTCTTAAAAATTTTGGACAAAAAATAGCCCTAATTGCTCTCTTTACCTGTCTATTTTGAAGTTGCCTGTCGACATATATCTGCCCTTCAGTAATATAACCCGTAAGATCTGGGGTCGGATGTGTAATGTCTGACCAATTGAAAGAGAACAAGATCAATTCAAAATTGCAATAGGGAAAAAAAAAAGGTGAAATTGCTAGATGGCTAAAGTAGAATGTTGATAGATGTATTACCATCATTAGGCATGGTTAAAATAGGAATTTGAGTAATGGAACCCTTTCTTCCTTCAATTCGTCCAGCTCGCTCATAGATAGTTGCCAGATCGGTGTACATATAACCAGGATATCCACGCCTTCCAGGCACTTCCTCTCGAGCAGCAGACACCTAAGAAGCAAACCTTTAGCCTATAGTTTTTTAATTAATTTACTTGAAACCTTTAGCCTTTAGGATGTGAAGTCCTTCAAATAAATTTTAAACAAACCCAGTTTATCAGTTCGTATAGCTGATAAATCAGGAAATTCATGATGATGTTACCTCACGAAGAGCATCAGCATAAGAACTCATATCTGTCAATATGACAAGGACATGCTTCCCACATTCATATGCTAAGTATTCTGCAGTTGTCAGAGCAATACGAGGAGTAATAATGCGTTCAATTGTTGGGTCGTTGGCCTGCAGAAAACTTACTTCAGAAACAGGAGGCATCTTGACCCATTATTTAAAACAAAAGCTTGATGATTTAATAGAATGTTATTAGCATCATTACCAAGTTTAAGAAAAGGGTCACTCTCTCCATGGATCCATTTTCCTCAAAATCACGTTTGAAGAACTGTGCTGTCTCCATGTTCACTCCCATAGCTGCAAAGACAATGGCGAAATTGTCCTCTTCACCATCCTGTAGTATAGAGTAGATCGTAAGAATCATGTTTATGAAGGGAAAAAATTTACGCGGTGACAACATACCTCGAGAAGATTCTCTGTTTTCTCCAAACGTTTCACCAAACCAGCCTGACGACAGATCTGGGCAGCTATTTCATTGTGGGGAAGACCAGCAGCGGAGAAAAGAGGAATTTTCTGTCCTCTGGCAATTGAGTTCATGACATCAATAGTTGAAATTCCAGTCTGTATCATTTCTTCAGGATAGGTTCTCTCACTAGGATTGATGGAACTCCCTGCACAAAGAGGGTACAGTATAAATCAAATGTGGGCAGGCGATGTGTATAGAAAAAGACAATTCTCTCTACGCCATTGACACTTGCCAGATATATCCAAGTAAGCCTCAGGGAGAATAGGTGGGCCGTTGTCAATAGGTTTTCCAGAACCATTGAAAATACGACCAAGCATGTCCAAGGAGACAGGTGTCTTTAAAACCTGTAAACAAGTTGAGAAACCAAATTCTTAAGAATGAGTGTTCATAACAACAAAAGAACAAAGAAATACAACTTCAGTGCTTCTAGGAATTCAAAATTGCACCACTATCTAATGTCATTACATAAAAATATAAATGCATTTTAAACTTCAGAAAGAAAACAACATAATCAGCATTTTCAAGATTGGAAATGCCTGGGAAAAACTTATAGACCATAACCATTAATCTAGCACTGTTCAGGATCATCAATTTGAACCCAATTTCAACAGATAACAGCAAGTGCAAATGACTGTACCTCCCCAGTGAACTGGACAGTTGTATATTTGTTGTCAATGCCAGATGTTCCTTCGAAAACCTGGTTAAAGAACAAAGGAAAAATGAAATCGTTAAAGAAGTAGAAGTACTATGTAATCATTATAAGAAAACGACATTTAAACAGTTCAAGGAAGAGGATATGTGTCGCTGAAACTCTGAAGGAGCAAAGGAATCAAAAATCCATTTGGCTTCTTCACAAGAGGCTGAAAATCAAAAGAGAAAGAAGATTTGAGGGTGCTCACCTGAACAACAGCCTTCTCCCCATCAACCTCCAATACTTGCCCACGTCGGGTTGTTCCATCTCCTAAGCGAATATTGACAATTTCCTGGTACTTGGGCCCCTGACATAGTTAACATATAAATGATCCTGTTCCTAGATCCATATTCATAAAGGCCTAGAGAAGCATATTAGATGCTTAAACACACAAAAAAAGTACAGCATTTACCTTGACTTTGTCAAGGATAACCAGAGGTCCAGCAACACCAGAGACAGTCCTGTATTCTGAAAAGGGGAAGAAAAAAAGGAATCAAGAGAATATTTATATGGTCCTGTACTAACTTTTACTTCTTGTTTACCTTCTAAGTGATATCAGTGCAATGTCAGATGAAAGCTTAGTGGAATTCATAGATTTCTAATCATTACATTCTGTTACAGTGTGAATGTACAATCCTAATCAAGACTCTATCATGCTTTAGGGAGACTTACGCATCCAACAATTTAAAACACTCTAGTTCATTATCCATATTATATATATCACAAGGGTAATTGTCACCATTTGACAACATTTGGATTTTAAAATCAGACATCACAGATGTATATGCGTAGATGTACACACGCATCTATATATTTAAGTAACAGGGAGATGACTAATTATGACGATAGCATACCCATTCCAATCTCTAGAGTTCCTTCCTCCATGTCAGTATTTTTTTGTGCTCCACCCATAACCTACAAAAAAAGAATCACACAATTTCAGATTGCATAAGAAATTTTGAGAGAGAGAGAGAGAGAGAGAGAGGGCTAAATTCTACTTGAAGCAACCAAATTTAGTTGCATTGAGTTTCAGATCACTCCAAACAACAAAACTGAACTAGAAATCTCTAACATGAACTACACCCTACTTCCCGTATCTCATTAATATGCCAATTTCACAAAACGTCTCCGTCGTTAGTCCCTTAATTATATACTTCAGTGCCAAATCCCTCGTAAAGTTCAACATTTGATACCCTTGATCATTTTTTTGATAAATTCTTACTGTGGTCAAACTCGAATTCGATAGAGCTTTCCTTTTTTTCTATTAGGTGTCCCGATTCCAAAAACAGGATCTCAGCAAGTGCATCTCTATCCTTTCCTACTAACTAAGTCCGTTAAAACTGACACTGACATTCGATTACGGCAAGACGATCATTACAGGAACTTCTACTATTTATTCCGCTAAATTGTTAACCTAAAAGCAGCAATCAGCGAACCACGTGACAATGGAAAAACCGCCTCACAAATCATGCGCATAAACTAAAAAAAGATGGATCGGATTCATATTCTCAACTCAACCATATACCCGCAAACGCAGTAGCTGGTGCTAATATAAGCCTTAAATGTGCCAATTATAACTCAATCCAAGCAAAACGAAGCTGATTTGATACTCACATACACCAAAAAAATTAAAATCAAAAAAACAAAATTAAAAAAAAAAATCTAAATTGTATGAACCAATTGAAAGAAACTGAATATGCACCAATTTGGATCTGAAAAGTCACATACCTTTTTGCTGTTTCTCAATACCTAGAGAAAACTGAAGAAGAAGAGGAGGAACTGAGATCTGACGATCGGAATAAAATTATTTATCACTGTCTATTTTGAAATCGTGTATAATGTGAAGACTTTTTCTTTTTATCAACAATTTAACAGTTACCAATATTTACGAGCGCAATTGAAATACTGGAGCGTACAACTCTTGAAGCGTGATTTACTGCCGCTGTAAAATTATGGCAATTTTTTAATGCTGGAGGAGTACAACAAAATAATCACCAGCTGGCAGATGGTTGGCCCGTGTAAAATGTGATGAGCAGTAAGGGGTGTATTCGTCCAGATCTCACGTTGGATAAGTGTGCCACGTGTCATTTTCTAACTGATTGGGACCCACTGTGACAAGACAGCTTAAATAATTAACTAAATAACAATTAATATTTTTTATTATATGCGAATAAATGAAAATATCTAAATAAAAAATTAATAACCACATATAATTATGAAATCGTACATAAAATCTGTACAATTTTTCACATTGCCGGAAACTTTTAATCTCAGCCGTTAAAAAACAGTTCCCTTCTTCACACACACACACACGCAGTGAAAGATGGCCACAGCCCTCTCGGTCCGGCCCAACCGCTACATCGCCGGCGGAAGACCGGGCGGTTCGACCCAATCCAGACTATCTCCGGTCACTCAGATGCTTAACCTGAACCGCCGCCCACAGTTCAGGCGCCGCCTATTAGCCCCACCGCTGCGAGCTAGCTCACGAGCCGACGACTCTGCGCCGTTGGAGATGTCGGTGGAGAACGCCCTCAAATTATTGGGGGTATCTGAGGGAGCATCTTTTGAGGATATTCTCCGAGCCAAGAATTCTGTTATTGCTTCATGTAAAGATGACGAACAAGCAGTTGCTCAGGTTCTTACTTTCTTTTTTTGCATTTATTTTATTTTTTAGATTTGGGGGTTTTTTTATTGAATGATCAGTTTATATATTATAAGCACGTGAGCATCTATTTTTAGGAAACATTGTGTTATTGATTTGGGGGTGTAAACGTAATCAAGTCGACCCGAGCACGTGTTTGTTCAAGCTTATTTCAATTTTATCGAGCTTTCAAAGTTGTGTTTGAGTTTGGTTTGATTAGTAATCGAGTTAGAGCATGAATTGAGCTCGAGTAGCTTAATTCGTGTTTTATCTTTTTTTCCGAATCGAGCTTGATCTATAGCCGAAAATATGTGTTCAAGTTTTCGTTATGTTAATTAATCGAGCTCCAACTAACTTTAAGAGAACGATCTCAAATCGAATCAACGTATCAAGTAGCTTGGTTTGATTTTCAGCCCTGTTGTCAAGTCTCCACAAACCCGATTTTTTATATGCGATTCTTGAAATTTTGTATGGCATATGAACATACCCTTCGATTCTAGATGATAATGGTCCTTGAATATGGTTTTACTGCGCCTACTTTTTTGTCTTAAATGTGATGATTTGTCAAATGATTAATGTTCAAGGTGGTCTCTTTTACGATGTTTTATTTAGAAACTAGTTGTCCTAAAAAGCCCTGTTGAGAAACTCAGAGATTAATAATATTTTAGTTCCTCTTCATTATGCTCAATGCTTGTTGATTTCTTCGTCGGTGGGTTGTTATTTGTTAACCACGACACTAATATAACTGTTTTTTTAATGGATCAAATCAACCTCCTATGTAATCTTTAATTTCGCTTCTTTTTTTCCGAACTCAACTATAGAAGGCTTAATAAACCATCGTTCGTCTCATTACTTTCTTTTTCTTCTACTTGGCTAAAGAAAAATCCGAGCATAAAAAGAAAGAAGTTAAATATGACACGAATTAATGAATACGGGTTGTCTATTTTACAGGTAGAGACTGCATACGATATGTTGCTAATGCAGAGCTTATCACAACGCAGAGCAGGTAGAGTTGTTAATAGCGGGATCCGTTATGCTGATGTCAAACCCGTAAATACTTCTAAAAAATCAGGGTCAATGCCTAAATGGCTGCAGAGTTCCGTAAACTTCATGGCGATATCAGTTGAATCACCGTCTACTAAAGACTTACCCCTGCAAGCTGGGGTGTACGGAGCTCTCGTGGTCTTAACATACGTGAGCGGAGCCTCTTCATCTTCGTACCAAGACAATGCTCCCGGCCTTTTATTAGCTGCTAGTTTCGGGGCATCCTTGTATTTCATGACAAAGAGAAATGTTAAATTAGGTAATAAAAAGCGACCCTTTTGCTTCTTTTTTGCTTTTGGTCACTGATTCAATTTTTTTTTTTTTTTGGTCACTGATTTTTCATACATTTCTTAAAAAAAATTGATCATAGGGAAAGCAAGTGTACTAACACTTGGAGGGCTTGTGGCCGGTTCAGTGGTGGGGTCCGCTGTGGAGAGCTGGTTGCAGGTTGATATCGTCCCGTTTGTTGGGATACATTCCCCGGCGACTGTAGTGAGTGAATTTGTAATTTTCTCGCAATTTTTGATCTCATTGTACTTGAGTTAGTTACAGAAGCCAAAATATGTTGATAGCTGTTGTTATATACAATGTGGAAATATAATGTGTTTTAGAACGTATACGAGTAAATAAAATTTTACTTGTGGAAGTTATTATGTTCGTAACCGTAATTTTCTTTCAGTTCGATTACTGTTTGATCATTGATGACATTCAAATAGCTTGTAGGTTCATTGATGTTGCTCATCATATTTGCATTCAACCATGAATATTGACTTAATAGCAAAGATGAAATTGCACCATTTCTCAATGAAACCGTTATAAAAGTTCATTTTCTTACATAATTGCGTGCGAGCATGTCCGAAAAACTATAGGACTACCGATACATCAAATAAAATTTAATTATTCAATTAATAATAGCTAATCATACTAATCAAACAAAGCTAAATAAGAACTAAAATCCAGGAAAGAACAAAACCCAAAAATATGCAAAATATGTATAGAGAAAAAAATGGCAACATATATAACTTTCTGCTTATCCACTTTCAGCTTTTATAATATGCTTCACTCGTCTCCAACGGGATTTACAAAAGTGAATTTTCGATCAAATAATAAAACGGAAGACAACATGGGTTCGAAACATCTGCCCCAGAAAGAAAACACATAACTACGACGAATATCACCTTCAACTTTTCACCTTCTCCATCCTCTCTCTCTCTCTCTCTCTCTCTTCCTCTCTCTTGGGCAGTTGAACTATGCCAAAGTATTATCATCAGTCTTCAGTTAAAAACGGGTTACGGTGTACATTAAAGAATCCAAGGTTCTGGTCTATTGTCTCTCTTTCAAGAAGCTACCTGTAAATTCAATTCAGACAAGAACAGAGTAGTACAAAGCAGGTAATAACAGCTTCAGAGACAGCTATGTTGGAGTGGTGCATGGTGCAAGAGTATTGGTGGGTAAAGTGATGCCACCGCCTTTCACAGATATGTTGGGACCCCCTCTGACCGAACTAGCCCTGCTCACAAGATGCGAGTCCAGAAATACCACTACCACTGTGATGTCGTCGTGGAAATGACGACGTACCCCTCTGTCGATTTTCTTCAAATCCGAATATCTCATCTCCCTTTTCTTTGCAGCTTCTTGTAATGCCGTCTTCACTAATCTCCTAGCGCTACCCTGTGGCAAATAGTGATGAAATAGGAGAATCAAACTCAAGAATTGGGAAGTCATATAGGAAAAGTACTGGAATACCCTTCTGGTTAAGTATATTTCCACTAATTCTCTCTCAAACTAATTCAGAATAACAAGGCAATTGTAGAAAGTGCAATTATTGGTCGGAATCTCAAAGTCACACATAATTTATGGAAGACA